GTTTTTGATCTGTTTCCTCTTCTTCTTCTCCTCCAAACCAATAAGGTCAATGACCTGAACCAGATATCATGTTGCAATTTCATAGCAGGAGGGATTTAGACTCCTTTCTGACCATATATATGAATGTGTTTGAGTAAGAATTAACAGAGCAGACCATATGCGAAGGTAAACATTATGCATTTGCTTTGCAAATGTTACCTTTCTAGGTAGTATTAGCCTTGATTTGTGGCCACCAAAAATGATAATTATATAATTTTCCTTGAAAATATCGATCAGGATGACTCAAGTCTGACTCATCTGTGTCAGGAGTCCCTAATTATCATTTACGACCAAGTATAGACTACTTTATCGCCAAGCAGATGTATGGTGTTGTTTTAAATCAATATTTATCGTGTTTCGAGTATGGAGCAAATAGAATGGTACCCAGGCTAATATTTTTTATGTTTACCAAAGGAAAACATATTGTTTTTACTCAATTTCCTCTTCTCTAAACACTAACCTCTGACCTGGCCAATGACATGATTTGTTGACGTCTGTCACCATGGTGACTGGTGTTGGGTTACATAATGTTGCAAACTTCATGGTCTGCTCTGCTCCTATCACCATATACCAGTAGTACATGTATGTGAATGTGTTTGAGTAAGAATTAACAGGGCAGACCATGTCCGAAGGTAAACATTATGCATTTGCTTTGCAAACGTTACTTCTCTAGTTTACCTCTTTCTTTTTTTTTCTTTCAAAAATATACCGTTTGAATTAAAGCTGGTAGAAATTTGAAAGGAGAAAACACACGAAAAAGGACATGACTGATTCGAAGTCTGATAGAATTATGTTTAATTTTGGAGAGAAGTAAGTTCATTTGGGTATTTTGAAATATAACGCGTCACGTATTTGCTGGGTACGGGGCTATTTTGGTGATTTGTTTGAATCTTTTAATAAGTTTTAGGAAAATACTATATTTTTGGTGTTACCTATCTGGAATAGTTTACAAAGCAATAAACTCTGTGTTTTATTCAATAGTGTTAAATACATTATTTAAAGTTCAAAATGTCAAGAAAAGTTCACATCTGTTTATAGCAATCAAAATTCTTACGATTTTTATTATCCAAACAAATTTGACGACTTGGACGGAAACATTCTGATTTAATTAGTGCCTGTGACAGACAGATTTTACGACCTTGTGTGTGTCGCCGTAAAACGTCACAGGATATGACGTCACGACCAGAATCCCCAGGGAGAAGGTGACGTTTCAATGTCACCCCAAAGTCAAAACGTCTGTTGAAACTGAAGTATTTGGGTCAAAACAAGGACACTTCACACATTTTGGAATTTTAGGAATAAGAAAAGAACTGGCATCTGCAATTTTGCAGTCTTACTTAAAAAAAATTCAATCCTAATACGTACAAATATGACCACCGTCTAATATGATATTACTGTATTTTTGATATACACTGTGACCAGTAATCTCTTTGGTATAACCGTGACAAATGATTTTCAATCGATGAAAGACATTTGGTCTTTTTACGAAGATGATTCCTCCAACATTTTACTGTTTTTGTAACCTGTGACAGCTGCCATTCCAACAACGAAGCAGAAAAAAAGATGCATTGCAATGTCTCCTCCCAACATCTGCTTGTAGATAGCCTGGTGTCCAGTCCATCGTGGTTTTGGCGGGTTTTCTTCGGGGCTGCAGGAGCTCTTCCCCGCCCGGCTCAGATAGGTTCCCCGGTAAGTTTTTCACGACGGGAGACTTGTGGTGGGGCTAATCAATCTATCTCCCGTCGTGAAAAACCTACCGGGGGAACCTAGCTGAGTCAGGCGGGGAAGAGCTCCTGCAGGCCCGAAGAAAACCCGACCCAACCACGATGGACTGGACACCAGGCTAGCTTGGAGACAACTCCTGTCTCTAAATGAGAATGAACAGACAAGTCAGGGGGGAGGGGGGTGAATGTTTTTTGTCAGGTTTAATTGGGTTAACCACCCGACCATGACCGATGCGCTCTTCGCGATGCATCTAAATGAGAAACAAATGGTGTTTTCCGTTTTAGTCAGAGTTCAGCCTTGAGGGTTGAAAAGATGTGCCAAAAACAAGTCCCAAGTGTCCTTTTACCCATATTCATTTAGTGCCTCTCTGTCTCTCTCTGTGTTTCTCTGTGTTTCTCTCTCTGTCTCTCTCCCTGTTTCTCTCTCTCTTTCTGTCTCTCTGTCTCTCTCTCTGTCTCTCTCTTTCTCTCTCTCTCTCTTAGGCTCTTACAGACACGTACACATGCGATTTTTTGTCATACGATATTTTTTGTCATGATTTTTTTTTGTCGTGCGATATTTTGTCGTACGATCTTTTGGTGTTCCTTTTTTGGCGTACGATTTTATTGGTGTCCCTTTTTTGTCGTACTATTTTTTTTGTCGTACGATCTGTCGTACGATTGTTTCCCAGGCGACTGACAAGGAACCACGAACCTTTTCGGTTAAAACTGACTACGAATATTGTACGACACGTCCACGAATGTCTCAAGAATGTTCCCGACTTCAATGTCTTAAACCTGCCGTACGACGTACATGTATTAGTATCCCTTTACAGTTTTAGCGATATTACAAAAAAACACATTTAGGTATATCTCACCAGTCTAGTTTATGTCTAACCTTACACTGCGCCAAACATAAGTGAGAATATCTGATTTCAAACTATGAAATTAAATTTCTCCGTGTATTTATTTCATGGTAACGAGAACGATTCTTCGATAGACTGGAATGAAATTTAAGACTTCATTTTCTGAATTAAGACCCGCAAGTCTCGTAATAGAAAAAGACCACTAAGAACAAATCAGGATTTAAAGGCACCCAAAGCCTTACTTAAGTTGAATCCGTACAGCATACTGATATCTGTGAGGAAAAAATGCGATGTTTCTGACGGAAAAGTTTGCTTATCGTATCCTATTTTATGGGTGGTACCCAAAAATAAAGAGAGCTTGTTTGGGCTATTTCAAACCCTAAATGATGACGAAAATGTGCCAAGAAATGGCAGTAAATGTCAATGTATATCAGACAGATTTTCTCATCCAGAATATTTTTGCTTTGCTGCCCTGAAATTACATTGAATGCCTTTAAGAATGACGAGAAACAACATTTTGACTCTCTCTGGCCAGACTAATACTATAATGACAAATAGCTACCTGTCGCCTGGGCCGTCGCTAGTTCGTCGTTTGGCGCCCTCACGAGTCTTAAAAATCAGTTACAACAATTTCTATCAAGTTCAAATCAAATTAAAACCAACAGACGATATTTCAGGTCGATTCTTTACAATCCATGGCGCTGTTTTTGGCGGGACCTTTTTTTACTCTTTGATTCGAGGATTATAGAAACATATTTGGTTGGGATGAGGTTGAGTTGGGGCAACTCTGAGGGATTTCAAACGATAGATGAGGGATCTATGGTAACCATGGCAACGGTTGCCCTTGGTAACCATTCTAATTAATCAGACGGTTAAACCACGGAGTTAGAAGGAAATGGCTAAACTGATCACATGCAACAAGACAATTTATATTGTAAAGCAACATTTAAAACGAAATCACTTCTGTACAACGGCTTTGTTTCCGATAAAATCCTATCTTTATATAGTCTCATTAGTAGGCTATAGGGCTGCATTTTAAGGCTTATAATGTACAAGAATCTGAGTAAAAAAAAAACTAAAGATAAAGCAAAAAAGTGCACTGCAAGCC